TAAGTCACAACCAACAAATATTTCTACATATTCATGGAGTCTATGTCCCATATTTCTGTCATGTTATGCTCCCATAAGGAACAACCAAGTACCATTCTTTCCTTTTTCTTTTTAAACATGTTGCTGTACAAGAGATTATTTTTACATAACTTTTAGCAGGATACAAGTTCAAATTCTTAATATCGTTCCTTTCTTTTACTTCAGTTTCATAGCAATATGACAATTCAATCTGCAAATTGTGTTCTTTTCCCCCTTAATTCTCATTTTTTAAAAATTTCTTTTACATAAAAATTTTAATTTTTGATGAAAATTGCTGTATTTTCTGATTATGCATTAGGATTTCCTAAGTACTCAAAAATTTCATTTTTATAATTATTGATCGGAAAAGATTTCTCTCAGACATGGTTTGCATAATTAGTTTCTAGACATTAAGTACAATACAGGTATCTTCACAACATAGTTACAAATAAAAAGTTGTAACAAAAATTGCATCATCGAAAACATTTAATTCCAGCTATTTCCATAAACAGACACTCTTTTCCCTTCCTTTAGAAACCCTTTCATTCAGTTTTTCACTCTCTTCAGGCACAATTAATTATACAAATGCAAAATTTTTCTCCAATTTTGGCTCTAACTTCTGTTCCTCCACTTTGAAAATAATTTGGAACAATACATATTGTTACTAATTTAAATTTGCCCATATTAAAAACACTTCACTAACTTTCTTCTTGAATTTTTTTAACTGTTCAGTTATAAACAGTATAAATATTTTCAAGAAATATTCTTGTTATTTCTAGAATATTCCTTTAAGAATATTCTTGTTATCTATAAGAAAAGCAACTAAAAAGAGAACTTGAAAACTGCATAAAATTTAAAACAGCTATTTATGAAGGAAATTTTTCCTGCCTCTCTATATAGGTTCAGCAGGTGATCATATAAGTAATGACATTGGTGGATGATAACCTTTGGTAACATCCTGTTAAGAAATAAATACATTGTTTTAGAATAAAAGATGATTTTATTGCAGCACGCTTCTGAATAGTGATAACACAGCACATTATCAAAGAGATTATATTGATCTCTAAGTCATATTGCTCTAATAATATTAGACGAGTTTTTTTCCCCTAATTTGCCTCAGTTACTAAGTAATATATAATCAAATCTGAGTTAAGATAACATGCCAAATAATGATTATTAAAGGTCCCATATTTCTGTCATCAGCAACAAGGCAACAAGAATCAGCATAATATTCATAAATCTGCAAGACTACTTTTGAAGGCTTAAATATAAAGCTTTCTTCAGCTGAAGAAGTGCTGAAGGCAAAACAGAAGCCTGTTTTCAGGCAATAACAATTAGGGAAGGAAGTTCGGCTACTAGCAACATCTACTAATGAAAAATGAAAACTACAAAATATATTTCTTAAAAGCTGAGGGTAAAGATGGATTACAGTTGCGATCATTAACTAGAACAGAAAGATTTTTATGATTAAGAAATGCCTCTAGAAAATCTAATTCTCCAACGGAAGATGTTTATTGAAAAATGTTGGCTGCGGAGAAATGGAAAATGTGATTTTCTGACAACAGTATTGAATGACAAAGGGCACAAAATTTGAAGGCTCTCTGAGTTTGACAAATACAGTTAAAAGTCATTAATTCAAACACCCATAATCCGGACCTCAAAGCTACAAACTTTCTGCGCATGCGCATAATACGTTTACGCATGCACGTTTAATGTATAACGGAAGGTATGAGCTAAAATTATCTAATTATCTATTTCAGTTAATGTTGCAGATTGCGTTGTTCCTTAATCTTCGAATTGGATCCGGCTTATTATTTTTTGCAGACTGTTAGAGCAATTTTATAAAAGTAAGCTTGAACTTTCGATTATGTCAAAAAGAATTTCCGATTCTGGAGCTGCCAAAGGATCTACAAAGTGAAAGCATGTTTCGATGTCCATCAAACAAAAAGTGAAATTGCTGCAAAAAATGGATAAAGGCATATCCTTTGTTTCTCTAACCATTCCGAAATCTGTTTATCAATTTCACGCTGCTCTGGGTGGGAGGGCACGCCGCGGCGCACAATGAATTGGAAGTTGATCTATCAGCACTATCCTTATCTTCGGGGCAGATTTTTTATTTTATTTGGCTTATAATTCCTGACTAAATGTAGTATTTCATCTCAATGTACTCTGGCTTTGATATGATTTAAATCATATTCCTCGTCATTATAATTTGCTTCCGATAGTGAAGAAAGTGACGCAGAGGTTATTGAAAATAAAAAAAAAATTTGATTGACAAATTAGTCGGTATTCTTATTCAAATTGACAAATTATTCAAATTGACACAGCAAATATAGGACTTGAACAGCGGAACTTTGTAACTGAACAAGAAATTATGTCTGTTTATAGAATTAAAGAGAGAGTATTATCACATAAAACAAAGCAACTTAAATAACTTACATTGAAAAAAACGTTTAATAAAGTAAACAAATAAATATTAAGCTTTTTTTTTTTTGTAAATTTTAATACCCTTTAGATCATAATTGTTCTTTATTTAATAAATTATGGTTTCATATTTTTAATTTTATAATTTCTGCATGCCATCTTACCAGATTTAAACTGATGATCTATAATCCGGAATCACTGAAATCCCAACGAGTCCGGATTAACAACTTTTGACTGTATAAATTAAATCACACTGGCAAGGAATCCTGTATTTACTGCAGAAGTACATATCTGAAATGGATTCTCTAAGAATGGAACTGATAATTTTATTTGTAAAAAAGAAAATGATCTGACAGTTGAATGTCTGTAAAATATGTGAAATTTTCTAGCTAAATAATGGGAAGAAAGAAATGTACATGAATTCTTATTATCTCCTAAAATGAGTGAGCACTTTTTGATGTGTTGGGATCAGAATTTTTTGTAACCAAGTTTTCATAAACTAAAAGTGTGTGTGGGGGGGGCTAGGTAAAACTTCAAGTAATCAAATATTTGTTTTATCAAGAAAAGTTAACATCAATTTTGACTAAAAGCAGTTTCGTTGCAATATTTCTTAAAAGTTTCTTGTAATGAATGCAATTGAATCACTCTAAGGACTCACATCTAAGGACTTTTCCCCCATAAAATGTCACGGTATTTATAAAAGTTTACAGCCACATAAAGGACAAAATGCAGTACAATTTTTTTAAATATTAAATAAAAAAACTGCATTTTTCTATTTCTTTCATATTTTCTAACACAAGAAGTTTACTAACATTGAAAGGTTATTTATAAATTTATAAATAACAAGGAATGGTCATTTATAAATTTTAGTTCGTAGTTTCATATACGGAAAAGAAAGCTTCATAGAACAAAATCAGAATTAATAATGAGACACCATAGCTAATAAGATTGTAAATCTATCTGATTGTAGTATCAAATGGTAAATGCACAAAATAAGATAAGGCACTAAGATTTAATTTGATCAAATACAATACCACATCATGCTAGCCAACTTTATACCTGGTATAAAAAAATTACTGTTGTGAACTATGCAAACTATAATGTCATTATAACTTTTCAACTTCCACTCCTTTAAGACAGACATATTCAGAATGACAAGGTCATATAAAAATAGTGATAATTTTCACAAGCAATACTAGTTGAGTTTATAGTAAAGAAGATAACTAAATATTCCCACATATTGTGATTAAAAATTCAGAGAACATATTTGAGCCTTTATAAATCTGACACCTTACTGAGACTTCCAATTATTTTTTGAAGCTAGGTTTTTCAATTAAAATTTTCAGATTTCAGCATTCATATAGGTTAAACAGTTAAACCTATATGAATGCTGAAATTTAATTTAGTTACCATGTATTTGCTACCTGTTAATCCTAATCCATATGATGACATGAAGGAAAGAATAAAGTCTATATTTTAGTTGCTGACTGTAGAAGTTATAGCCAAAATTTGCAAATAAAGACATATGACTATATGATAAGATTTATATACTTTAGTATCTGATTCAGGAAGAAATGATTTGGAAAAAATTATTTCTGAAAGTAAAGAATTATTAAAAGAGAAATTATACTTCTTCTTATAGTTTAGTATAGCATATGACAGTAGTTGTTTATTGAGGGAAAGAGAAACCAGATTTAAACACTTTAAATTAGTCTTCAGAAATGTAGTTAGTTATTGAGAAAATAAATAGGTAACAGAAGAAAAAGTTTACTTCTTTAAACCACCCAGTGTTTACAAGATCAAAAAAATGTTAAATGACTACAGAAATTTAATTTGTTTCTTTTATTACCAGAAAAGGCAGCAGCCTAAAGAGAGCAAAATCTTTAAATAATGTGTCCTGCACTTTGCAACACAGTCAGCAGAAAAATTATTACTAATAAAACTGCTTATTAGGTGGAAAAAATCTTATTTTTTTAAATATGTAAAATAAAAATTTTAATACAGAATTTTTCCATCACAGAACTTCAATATTATAAAAGGCTAAATCATTATTAAATCTTTAACATATGTTAAATAATAAATTATATAATTAATCTTAAATTCAAATAGCTCATGGAATTACAATAAGGTAAGTAGTATAAAGTAATAATTGTATATTAGTAATACTTTACAGTATAAAAAAATGAAACAAAATATTTAAAAATTTAATTCAACTGAAACCTTTAAATACCATTAAAACTATAAAAATACATTTACATGATTTCCAAAACAATGTACTAAAAAACAAATAATACAGTAATAATTTTTCATAAAATTTAAAAATGTTTTATTTAGAAATACAGTCTTCTAATTGAGACAAATTTAATTAACTGATGAGAACGAAAATTTCCAACATTTAATGGAAACTTGCTCAAACTATATTAATTCATTGAATGGATGAATGAAAGTATTTATAAACATTTGTATTATATAATAGTAATTGATTTAATGTGTAACATACACAGTGGAGAAATGTTCAAAGTAGAATAAAATATATAATTAAAAAGTCAAATTCAAACCTTGCATCCGTATGCCATAAACTTCAGACCACATTCGATCAGAAAGAGTGCCGTAAAAGCTTCGTTTAAGTAGTCTAATGTGTCTAAATACAGATCAGGGGCTTGGTAGAACTACAGCGCCATGGAGTGAAGTAGCAAGAAAACAAGGCGGCAGGAGTTGAAAAAAAACATAGAAAACAATGGGAGGGTCTAAGGTACAAGGCATAACAATAAAATCAAGCAGGTTTTAACTCTACTTAATACACTTAATTTTTATCAAGAAATACAAAATGAAATGTATTAAGTAGTGTCGGGATCAAATAAAATTTTTTAAAAAATTATTCGTATGTTTATAGAACTGTCATTTAAAATGATTACAAAAGCCTATAATATACAAACAGATATTTTTAACATTCATCTAATCATTAAAAATAACAATACCATTTCATATAAAATAATTATTTCCTTTATATGCAAATCACAATCAGTTTTTGAAAATGCACATGCAATATTATCTCATAACAGAATGTTTACAGTTTAGGCATGCAAATAAAACAATATTACACATGATCAAAAATCATCAAGAACACAATTCATGCCCCTTTCAGAATAGTGCACCATACCACAGACCAAAAAATCTCAGTACAAAAAAAGCTATGACATGCGTCAAACAAACATGCAAGATATTTCTAAGTAATTTGCACAAAAAATACAGAAATAACAATATCCATGTCATAATGGCTACGAGAAGTTAACATTAATTATATTCCTATTACCTTACAAATACATAAAAACATTTGAATAAAGAATTTGAGCTCTACCGCAGAAGTACAATTATGTCAGGTTTGGGACAGTATATTAAGAAAAGAATATGATTTAATGAAAAATTTATAAATATAAATATTCTGAATTAAAAGCCTGGATTTTTTTTTTTTGAAAAAAATTTTTAACATGACATATCTGAAATGGTACAAATAAAGCTTATCTGTGTTAAATAAAATACTGAAATACTTTTGAAAAGTTTGTTTATACTGATTAAAGTTAAAAGAAACTAAGATGATGGCATTATTTTGAAAATATACTTCAGGGCTCAGGAAATCAAAACATTTATGACCACATTCAGGAAGCCTATTAAAAATGTAATATGTTACCATAAATTTACATGCGAATTCAAACTTTATTTAAAAAGTGTTACAATATAAGTTTAGTTATTTATGCTCCTTTCCCCAGTAAGTGCTTTAGTCGTTAACACAGCAGGATTCCAGATCAGTAAATAAAAAGCTGAATTCTATCCAGTAGAACAAGTTGAACCAACAGCTATGATACACATTAATAACACAGATATGAAGATAAACTTAATATAGGGAATCTAAATTAATAGTCAATTATAGTTTATCAGCTATCTCAGTATAAACTCAAAAGAATAGCAAGCTGATTTTTTTTCTAATATGTAACAGCAAAAGTAATAGATTCAGCACACTGTTTATGCAGATTTTATATTTTGAGAAATATATATGAACAGCTTGATTGAGAAGACAAGCCCTGAATCTCCTAAAGAATGGTTAAAGATAAAAGATGCATCAAGATATTTACAATTCGAATCAAATACTAGAAACTATTTAAAATAATTTAACACCATATTAAAGCTTTCGATTATCATCTAAGACCGTATATAGGAAATTTTAGACCATAATTAAGGAAACCAGGAGTGGTCCTGTTTCAGGCACAGATATTAGAAACTCAACAATTTGAAAAAATTGCATGATAATCAACCCTTCACATGGACACATTTAATTACTTTGCTATTATTATGTTTATTTTTTTTAAACTTGTGAATTTTAATTACCTTAGTTGCACGTTAACTTTCATGCACTTTTCAGTCTGACAAGGTTTTTAGCCAGGTCTTAATTTACATACTATATTACTTGCCTCACATGGAAGGTAAAATTATGAATTTTTTATATAATTAAAAAAAAGTTGCCAAGGAATAAGTATAAAAAAGCATGGATTTAACTAATAGTATAGCTAAATTCATAAATCAAGTAAATTATCCAAATTAACCTACCTTTTTTATCATTTGTGTCTTATATCTAAAAACAGACAGAAAATAGTATTTTGAATTAAAGTTGTTGCAAACAAAATGTTTTTAAACTTTTAAATTATTTAGGTAAGCTATTAATAATATATTTTTATTTAGTTAATAATTTTATTTTTTTTTATTTATTGTTTACAACGAGAATTTACAATGATCTACAAATTAAATTAATGAGAATTGACAAAATGTTTTGCACTACTTATATTACATCAATCTGTTTAAACACTTCTCAGTAGTTTGCACTTTTTGTATTATATGATTATTATCTTAGAAAGTAAAGATTACCTGATAAGTAAATGAATATTATGTAGTTTTTCTTAAACAATGTCTATTTCTAATTTGTTTACTCACTGCATGTGTTTAATCAAGTGATAAAAAATTAATTGATATAAAGATAGAGAATACAAAAAATTTCTTTTTTCTCATGCAATGTGAATTAACATCTAAGATAGCAAGTTAAACTTCATCATAACTTTTCAGAAATGGATCTTAGATGCTAAGTCTATATGGGAAAGAAAAAATTTCAAAAATGATTTTTTTTGTAATCTGAAATATTTATGATTTTATATATAAAAACAAGGAAATGAGAATATTTTAGTTCATGTGTTTTATAAAGTTTGGCACTCTGCATGTTTAAGATATATTGCATAGAATAAATGCCTTGATATATGTAGAGTAATGTATTTTCTGCACTGAAACGTAGATGTAATTCATAATACAAATAACCCACCAAGCATACAAGCTTGTCTTTAGTTTAAGATGCAAATCACATGCAGCATAAGGCTACTTTTCACCAATGCAAATCAACATTTCACATTTGTTTACAATCAATGTTCTCAAGCAGTAATTTAAATTCTAAAGCGCAGTAATTAATTATTAAATATATGCTTATCATTACTTACTTATCATACATTTTCAATAATATTAGAGCAGTTATAGGATCATTCAGTTTTAAATATTAATTTTTTGAATAATTCAGTAATTTAAATGATGACTAGTTAACATGGAAAAATATTACATTAAATGAATCCCAGATGAAAGAGAAATTTTATTCTTTAAAACAATTAAATAAAAGACTGATGTTATCTCTACTTCATTATTTTATAACACATTTTTTCCTTTCTAAAATATCCACTCCTAATATAATGAATAAATGACTTTAATGTATCAAATGATGAACAAAAAATTTTAATTTATATATAGAGAGAGTACCAACATCTTATAAATTCTTTCATAAGAGTTTGCGGAGACCTCTTAATGGTAAAATACCATAAGTTCTTAGTTACAAAGTAACTTTTAATGGTAATAAACAAAGTATATTTATTACCTTTATAAATTTCATTTATTACCTTTTGTTTATGACCATTTTTATTACCATACTATTTATTTTTACCATTATTTATTACCTTTTCTTTAAAGTAAGTTTTAACTACCATAATTTTAATATATACAACTTTACAATACTTTTAAATTTAAGTATATTATCCAAATCTTTGAAAAAATCTATATCTTAAAACTATCATAAAATCTAAATAAATAGTAAAATTAAAAATATTTTTCTTTACATAAAAATATCTGGTGCTGAGCTATTAATTTTAATAATAAAAATCATAAAATTACTATCACATTATCTAATTATAAAACTATTTATTATTAAATAAATACATCAAAAGATAGAAACTTCTGAACTTCTGCAGAAAAGGAATTTATGTTAGTAAAATATGTAAAACGAAAGTATAAAACAAAGTCTTATAATTTTAATTTAATAAGGATCAAAGCAAAAACCTAATAAACACAAATCTTAAAACTAGAATTTGAATTGAAAGCAAACTGCTTTATAATGCTCCTTCTTTTAGGGTTTAATTTATTGAATAATTATAATTCTTTAATAAATAAAAACAGGGATCAAAAGTGAATACAGCGTTTTCCTTAAATAACTGTAATTCTTTAATTAAGAACAATCATAAAAAATAAATGCAGTGTTTCCTAGATTCAGCATTTTACTCCAAACATCCACACTTATTATGATTCCAAGCACCAGTTTACAAATAATTATACTTCCCCAGTGAGCACAAACTTCTTGTGATAAAGCATCAATTCACTTGAATAGCCATAATATAATTTTAATGAAAACCTATTGAACATCCTTGAATTATTCAAGTTTTAATTAATATTACTTAAACTACTCTTTTTATTCTTCGTATATTTTTTATTGGACTGCATATAATTATTTGTATTACATACGTATTCATAATTTACTTACCTTAAAAAATTTATTGCAATACACTTAGCTACATTAAAAAGGTCACCAGAAAAATTTTTGATTACTCTCCTTGCATTAATTTGGTTCCACTACCTAGTAATGACGCACTGAAGCACTAAAATAAAGTACTGAACTTCAAAATGTAAGATGTGACTTAATATTTGCTTTATTTATTGAATTCTGGATATCTTTTTGACAATACCTGATAAATAAATTGATAATGATTATATTGATAATTATATTACCTATTTTTTCACTAATTCAGTTAAGTGAATTTTAAAAAATAAAATTATTTATATGTATAGTTTTAACATTAAATTGATATTATAATTTTTAAACTTTTTGGCAGAGAGATCCTTAATGCAGAAGTTTATGAAAACATATATGAAGCATACTTGAACTAAAACTGTTTAGCATTATCATGAAATCAAAGAATCTGAACTCAGTTGACATTTAACTACAGAATCTAAATCAATATAGATTTTTTTTTTTTCAGTTTCTGATCCCTGATTAAAAATAATAAAATGATTCAGAGATTAGATAAATAAGATATTTTTAAAGATTAGATAAAGAAAAATATTTTTAATTTTACATGTATGGCAAAAATACCACAAAGAATAAAATTAATACTAAAATGTAAAATATTATATTTCCCCTAATACTTTATAGAGGGAGCTTGAAAAACACATTTGTTTAAAATTTTTTGCTTTGTTTGATTTTCTTACCCTGACTCCAAATGCAGCCAACTTGAGCGAGCATTCAAGGGTAAAGAGTGCAGTGAAGGCCGCATTCATGTAGTGCAGGGTAGACTTGAACAGTTGTTTTTGTTTGTGATACTGGACAAAACACAAAAGCAATCACATTTCTGCAAAATCTATTTATAGGCAGTGTAATAGCGGAAAGGCAAGTCAAGTCAGGGCATACAGCTCAGTGGAAAATGCAAAACCACAAAACACATAGCACAGAATATATATAATAAGCCAAACAATTACTTTGTATGTCAAAAATTATTTTTTAACAAAGATATAATAATTCTGTCAAATTTATTGCAATTACTTTTTTCACCAACAGTTGCTATATTCATAGCAAGTATCTGCTTTTTATTAGAACCTATACATTTATAAATGTATTTATAACTGTATGTACAAATGTATTTATAAACATTCAGTTTATAATCCAAACTAAATGCACAAAAATTACTTTAAAAATTTCAGTTTTTAAAAAGTGTTATGAAAAATCATGTGCTTAATTAATTCAAGATTAAACTGTGTATACTGAGTTTTAGATGCATTAATAAGTAGATTATGACTTAATCAAGCAATTGTTACACATATTAAACAATGGCTTTTCGAAATTAGGATTTCAATGAAATTTTATAGGTTCCACTAATTGCAGGTATTTAGGTTGTTTAGCTATTGTCAGCTGTTAAATATAGGAAAAAATTCTGCTTTTAAGAAATCTGTTTCAAGGAAATAGTATTTTGCAAGAGTAGTTCAACAGCAAAGAGAATTCCATTTGATGAAAATATGAAAACAGATGAATCAGTCCAAAATTTATGACTTAAAAATGATTTAAATATAGTATATGCATGAATCTGTTTTATGCAAGAAATTATTTAGGTTCACCCAGTCTCATGAATACAACAGGACTTAAGTTTTGTATAAAATAATGAAACGGGAGTCGAAGAGAGAGTAAAAAATCTAATTTAGAAAAAAATGCTGATGACTCAGGGTAATTTGCCCTAAAGAAGGTATGAAATTATCTCCAGCAGAAAGTAGTGGAAAGTTTACATCACTTGGACAAACAATAGGGGAAAGAACTTTAATTTCTTCAAATAGTAAACTTTATAATGCATGTTAAACATATCAAAAATTCTTAAAAATTTAAACCATGTTAAATAATTTGTTGTAGTACAAATCAAAGCTTAAATTGAAAGTTTAGAATAGACTATGAGGATACCAGTATGCAGATTTTGGTGAATAAATTGATTTCTTTTCTTTATCATCTCCCATTTTGCTAAGCTGAATGGGTAAGGGGAGGTATATCATGTAGAGCAAAAGCAACACCTGGATTAAGAAATGCAAAGCAAAAAATATAAATTTCACGAATACAAACTGTATAATAAATATGCCACAGAGAATGGGGTTATTTGATTATGGAAAAGTTCTCAGGTTATGTGTTCTAACGTACTAAAGTTTAGTGATGCACCATTAAAGAGAAATATTTTTGTGGAGAATTTCGAGATTAAAATTGGTCTACATTTACATTACACAATGAAAACCACAAAAATCTCGTGTAGCCAGCTTGCTCAACTATTGGCACAAAACTGAATAAAAGAATATTGTTTAGCAGTATTAGCCACTCAGCTACTGGTAGGCTAATATGCTATAATAACATTATTAATTTTGAAATATTTTCATTGTATTCATATTAATTCAGGTTAGCTTTTTTAAATATTTATGGTTTCTAAATTCAAATTCCTGTGGATTTTTAAATAAATTCATCTCATAAAAGAATATCTTTTAAGCTTTCCTCTTGCTTCCAGATACAAAATAAATGTATGTCACTTTTACAGAAAAGAAATACAAAGAGTTGTTTTCTTCATGATAGTTTTTCTAAATCAATATTATTCATATTTTCTCTAACTGTTTGGGATATGAAGACAGAAACGTCCTTCCTCTAAGAACCATTTTGAATCCACTCTTCCACAAAGAAAAAAAAATCTGTGATACAATTTGGACAGAGAGCATACCTACAAAAATTTTATAAGAAAAAGTATAAAATAATAAAGTGCAGAAGTTTTATATAACCTAAAATTTAATTACTAATAACCATCAACCCTTTCTTAACATAAGATTTACAAACACCTGTATTTATATTCAGCATTTGAAAAATTTCAACAAAATTTTCCCCCTGTTATATATAACAGAAAATTTTCTTTTCTCAATGAACTAGAGATAAGTAACATATATGCTGCTAAGGCAGACACGGTGCTTTTTATTATGGTATTTCTGGAGTTATATCCCTTTACATAAAAAATTATACTAAAACACAAAAATACATAACCTTTATATTTATAAAACTTAAAAACATCCAACAAATTTCATAAGAAAAACAACATTTAATGTTTTTCTAAAAATGAATTTATATTAAATTTTGAGGAATTCATATTAAATAAAATTTATATAATGTCTATAATCTTAATATCAATAAAAATATCTTAAATATTTTTAGGAATTTTGGAAATATTAAAAAAAGGTGTATAAATCTAGATAATTTAAAAACATAGCTTCTTTGCTTCATAAAGCAAATCAAATATAATTCCCTCTACATGCTTATTCTCTATTAATATCACACATGCAATGTTTCTGATGCATTATTTATTTAATTAGTTTAAAAGCAGATCAGATTAAAAGTGAATATGGTGCATAAAATGTCAAATACTTATATTTCCTGAAATAAATTCTTGTAAGAAATATGATTGAAAAACATAAGCTTAGAACTAAACTATACATATTAGTTTATCAAGTACAAATGCCAATTTTCTTGCAGCAAATACTGAATATATGTTTACATTACCACATTAAATATAACAATTACTTTATTTCAACCAGGAATTGACAATGAAAAATATACTAGAAAAATCAACAAACAGAACAAAGTTAATTGAGAGTTCTTATAAAAAGTGAATTCAAATGATGCTAAAACAAAATTCTTTTTTCACATTTGTACACCAAAAATGGTCATTTCACCACGACTAATTTATGTAAGTGATTAACTGTATGTATGCAAAACAAAAATACATGCTTCAGCAATATAATAATATTAAGTGCAAAAACAGTTTCACCTCAAGGATAAATTTAACTTTTATAAAAATATAAAACTTAAAATATGGCTGGGTACTATATTTTTCATAGCAAATGACAATAAATATAAATATTCTCTTTCCATAATAATTCGAAAAAATAATAATCGACAATTCCATTACATGTTAAATTAATTACATATAGCTTCAAAATATTTATAACTTTAAAACTTAAAAAATGCAAACCAAAATATCTTATATGAAAGCTTGTAAAATGGTCATGATAAATAGCAAAGCTTAAAACATTGTTATGAAAAACATGTACAAAATTAAGCTAAAATAATTCTGCACAACAAAGTAACCAAATTAAACTAAACAATTATTTCCTTAATATTATAAGAGGCCTTAAAAATTTGACAAATGCAGTAAGTGTTTTTGATCATGTTTTTTCTATTCCTTGATGAAACAGAGGGAAAATGATGCTCTGAAAATCACATGTGAATTTCATAATAACATTTAGAAACCTCTACATTTTTTTAAATTAACTGTTTTTCCAATGGATAGATTATAATAATGATGTCGTTTACAGAGACAATTTACAATAGAGTTTCTCACATAATTTTTAAGAACTGTTAAAACACATGAACATAAAATGTAATACATTAATTTTCATATTCATGTAATTCAAATACAAATAGAAATAAACAGAATATATAAATAAATTTGACAATTAAATAAGGAAAAATCATTAAATTTAAATTACTTTAATTCTAATGTACAGAACAAGTGCAAATAAAGTTTTTTATAAATCATTTCATACTTTTTTTTAAATATATTCTTACAAAACATTTATGCATGCAAAAATTCAAAAGTCATTTTTTGATACATATATCATTATCATGTATTTATAACCAAATTACAAAAGTTACAAATGCTGATTACCAGATGTATAATATCAGCAAGAGATGAATATCAGTTTCAAAGAAAAAAAAACTTTTGTATGCCTACATAAAATGAAAAGAAAAAAAAAAAAAAAAAAAAAATCTTTTATAAATTATGAAATTTTTTATCTGAGGATTTGTATTTTATAAAAATTCATACTTAAAAGTGCTTAATTGAAATCTAACATACATACATTACTGATTTCTAAGAAGCGAAAAAAAAATGAGTTGTTACATATAAGGGAAAAAAAATATGCGCAACAAAAACTCTAGTAATTTAGATAAAAAAAAGATGCTATACAATAGCAGCATCATTAGACAAAGATACACATATTTTCAAATATACAAAAGCCAGATGGGTTTTATAAAAAAATATTTCTCATAATTCGAAATTCTGTTCAACATTCTGTTCAACACTGACTGCGTTCTTTAACATCCTTCAGAAAGTGGAATAACATATATTTACCAATTAATTATTTTAAATTTTTTATTTTATATCAACTAATAATTTTTCAAATAACCTACTTGCACATTAGGCTGCACTTTTAATATTAAGACTATAAACATCATGGCAAATTTTGCAGTCTTTGTCTAAAAGATTAAGCTGAGCACATTCTTTTAATAGCCTATTTGTGCATATTCATCACAGATGAATGACTTAATAAGAATGAGGTAAACATATTAAAGTGTTTGGTAAATGAGGTAAACATATTAAAGTGTTGGTAATGTATCGCCCAACAGACAAAGCATTCCGGCTATATTTATAACGCAAATAAGAGTAAGTCTGAATAGCTGTGACAATCACAATACTGTATTATTTACTGTGTTATTTAAAAGGATATATAGTATTTTAATATATATTTATACACACAAATTTTAATTATAATTAAGATACCCTTAATTTTAATCACATAGAAAATTTTTTTCTTTAGTCTATTTTCCTATTTTTTAATGATATAAGATTTCTGAGCACCAGTAATTCATCCCAGATTCTGTTCCTAATAAATGAGCTAATTGTATGGGGTATTCACAGTTTTTCTTATATGTTATGTATAATGAACATGAGATGGTTTTCCATAGAAAGTCCTCT